GATCTGCAGCTGTGCTAGCTCCTCCTCCGCAGCCAGTCGCGCCTTTAGAGCCCGCTTGAAGTTCCTGCATGTTCGTTCAAGCTCCTGGTCTAGTGGTAATAGATCTCCCGACTGGCTATGGGTCATGCACTACCTGCACACAATCAGCAGAAGCAACCCGTGAAGGCACACAGGTGGAAGAGATAAAATGCAGTAAAGAAAAATCTAGAGTAACAAACTTTCACGTTTCCCCAATAACCTAGAGGATCCCGGCAACGGCGCCAAAAACTTGACACACCAAAACACAACACCAAACTGCGACCAAGTGTAATCGCAGTCCGGGAATGCAGTAAAGTAGCAAGTTCTATTATCAACCCGGGGTCTAGATCTACTGCTTACTCCGTGATTATCTATTATCTAGCCAAGTAAGTTAAGTGATTGTTTTAAGCAAAAGCAGTAAGAAAGCAGGAATTGGTACGGTTTTCTCAAGCAAAGAAGAGTCACTCGGGAATGAGTCCCCCTAGCTCCTTAGTTAGGTCTCAATTGTAATTACCCTGGGTTGATTTACTGTTGATTAGACTGCGGAAGATCCGACAGTAGCTTAAAATCTCTTAAGCTGACCAAGCCCTCTCAATCTAACTACCCGGCAGACGACTAGTCTTCACCGGGATAGAAAGCTGAAGCAATAAGCACAGAACTCCACTACTGGAATTGGATTCCAGTACAAAGCAGTAAACTGGCTAACTCTCGTATAGCCAATCTCTTACTACCGAATGATGAGGCTCTAACAACCTAATCAGATTCTATCTATCTCAGGTTGCAGCAGAAATCAAGAAAAGCTGATCAGACTTCAATCAATTCAATAAACATGCATCATTCTATTAAAACCAAACAGTATAATCATCCCAAGTCATTACAATCAAATCCCTAACACATGGAACTAGGGTTCTTCATACACAAGTGAGAGAAGGGTTCTACTCCATAGAGAGAGAGAGAGAGAGAGAGAGAGGAAAACAGAATACAAAGCAGTCATACTCATAACAATGGGAAGAATCTACTCTGGGATGATGATTTCCACTCCTATGACGATCTCCAAGCTCGATTTGATGAAACCCAGCTCTAAGATAGCTTCTAGGATGTGTTCTTCGTACTTTCTCTCTCTAGGGCTCTGTTTTTGCTCTGAAAATCCGATCTCTCACTTGTGGCCCGAAATTGGGTAAAAACCAGAAATTCCCGACTCACACGGGCAGGCCACACGGCCGTGTGGCATACCCAGTTGCCCGTGTGAGGTCAAAACGCTGCGTTCCGATTATGTGGGTTTCAGGCTTCCTACACGGCCAGGGGCACACGGCCGTGTGGAATGCCCAGCCTGCCCTTGTGAAGCCTTGCAGAATTCCACACGGCCAAATTACTCCTTCACACGGCCGTGTGAGATTTATTTGTGCCCGTGTGAAGGCTCGCACAATCCCACACGGCCACATTGGTCACTTGCACGGCCGTGTGGGTTCTGTGTGTGCCCGTGTGGCTTCCTCAGCGACTCGCCTCGCGTCCAATCTTCGTCCAATCGACCCCGAACTCGCTCCTAAACCTTCATTCACTTACTAGGACCTGAAATATCACAAACAAGCACAACCTAGCGTGAAATCGGCCTGAAATACGAGAATCGACACCTCAAACGGCTCCAGAATAGGGGTAAAAACATGTGCAATTAACGGCTTATCAATAGTGGTAAGGTTTACTTATAACCCCGGAGTCCAAATCTACTACCTACTCCGTAAACTTCTATTATCTGTCAAACTAAGTATAGTGAGTTGTTCAAACGGAAATTAAACTTAAAGCAGGAAATGTTCTGGTTTTTCAAGTATGCTAAAGGTCATCCAAGTATGATTCCCCCTAGTATGCAGCTAGTTTAGATTATATGTTCCCAATTTACTCCGATTGATAGATATACTGCGGAAAGTTCTTTTAGAAGTGTAGAATCTCTACAAAAGTAATCCATAGCCTCTCAGGTCGGATACCCAGCGGCAACTAACCTCCACCGGCATAAACTAACCAAGGAAATAACACGCCAAACTTCCTCTACTGGCTCTAATTCCAGTATAGAGCAGTGAATCGATTTCTTGACTAATTCAATCGATTCGCCACTTGAATTTAAGGTTGCTCTTTTAACCTATGCAGAGAGAATCGTTCTATGTTAAAGTAGGAATCACATAAATTTTATCAGGACTCATGCAATTCTGAATAGGAGCCGGTAGAAGCCGGCGTGACCTAGACAATTGCGGATCTCCTTCACAGACACAGGAGGAGCCAGCTTACTGATCGTCTGTATCTTTCCCCGATCAACCCCAATCCCCTTCTTGGAGGTCTTGTACCCGAGTATAATGCCTTCGCGAACCATGAAGTGGAACTTCTCCCAGCATAGTGCAAATTTTGTCTCCTTGCACCTTTTCAGGACAAGCTCTAGATTATGGAGACAGTGTGAGAAGGATTCTCCATAAATCGAGAAGTCATCCATGAAGACTTCCATAATCTCTCCAAGCAGTAGGTCGAAGATAGCCAACATAAATCGCTGGAAGGTCGTCGGTGCATTGCAAAGACCGAATGGAATCCATCGGTAAGCAAACGTGCCGAAAGGACAGGTGAAAGTGGTCTTCTCCTGATCCTCCGGTGCGATCGGGATCTGAAAATACCCAAAAATTCTATCCAGGAAGCAGTAGAACTCATGCCCTGCCAACCGCTCCAACATCTGGTCAATGAAAGGGAGCAGGAAGTGGTCCTTCATGGTGACATCACTTAGACGCTGATAGTCGATGCAAACACGCCACTTAGTCATCGTCCACATTGGGATCAGCTCGTTCTTCTCGTTTGGGACCACAATCATCTCGCCTTTCTTCGGAACCACCTGTGTGGGGCTGACCCACTTGCTATCAGAATAGAGCAAAGATGATCATGACATTCATCATCTTCACAATCTCCGCCCGGAACACTTCCTCTAAGTTAGGAGTCAAACTCCGTTGCGACTGTCGGACTGGCTTAACCTCATCCTACATCAGAATTTTGTGAAAGCATAAGGATGGGCTAATGCCTCTAATGTCTATGATCCTCCATGCCATGGCCCAGGCATACTTCTTCAATAGAGCTACCAGACTGCTCTTTTGATCGGGGTCAGTTCCGAGCTGATGATGACAGGGAGCTTATTCCCCTCCTGGAGAAATGCATACTCTAGGTGAGAGGGGAGGGGCTTAAGCTCCAACTTTGGTGGCTCCTCCAACGATGTGGTGATCCGGGAGACATAGAGATTGGCTTGAATGGCTTCTCTTGCCCCTTGATCGTTGTGCCTTCCAACTCCGCGAGATGCAGCTCATATGATGCATGTTCCCCTAGCAAAAGACAGCGCTCGAGGGAATCATTAGTACCCGCACTCATGATAGAAAGTCCGGTCTCATTATCAGCAACCACATCACAATAGTCAAAATAATCATGTAACTGGCGGTGTTTCATATTATCAGACACAGAAAAGGTGATTTGTTCACCCCCAGTCTGCAAAATCAGTTTGCCATCATTCACAGCAATAAGTGCCTTGGCAGTGACAGGAAAATGTGGACCCAGAATCAAAGGCACCTCCACATCCTCATTTATACTCTTTAGAACTAAAAAAATCCAGATCCTTTGCAATTTGCCCGAGCTCCCCTTTTATTTGCTGGAGATTTGCGAGTTACGGCCAAAGTTATGGCCGTAACTCCCTCTCGCAGCCCGTTACTTCCCTTTGAAACGTGGACGTCTTTTTGCTCCGTAATTCAAGTGGTAGGACTCCTATAGGAAAGTTACGGTTGAGACCGTAACTTTGAGGAGGGGGCGGTAACTCCAAAAATGCTCCTGGAACCTCAGCCCCGCATCTCCAAAGCTACGGGCACCTTGGGGAAGTTACGATTGAGGCCGTAACTTTGAGGGTCTGACCACAACTTTCCCCTACTCTCTCCCTGTTCTCTCCAAAACGTTCCAAAACTCGCTTCTTCGCACTCATTCACATACTAGGACCTGAAATATCATAAACTAACACGACTTAGTGTAAAATAGGCCACGAGAGCGAGAAAGCGAGCTCAAACGATCAAGAAATGTTGGGTAAAACATGTTCAAATACAGTGTTATCAATTTGGTTAAACCTTTTAGTTTGTTTGGTTTATGTTGTTTGGTTTTGTTTTAAAAATTTCTAACCAATCAAACAATTAAATAATTAATTATGTCTAATATAACATAAACACATACTTAATATTTTTCATAACCACGCAAGAGTCAAGCGTAGACAGAATGTCCGTCAAAGGAAATGAGCAATGAGGAGAAGCAATTTTTTAACTGGGATTAATAATTTTTAATTCCAAATCGAGGGAAGGACCGAAAGACGTGTCGAGAGTAGTTTGTGATGGATTCATTTTGGTGAAGATAACTACCTTCTTTCTTCTTCCCTTGGCCCACTAGTTGCACTTGAGTGCACCTCCAATTTCCTAATCATGTCTCACAATTATTAATCATGACTAGGAACCACCTAGTGCAACCTCGATGGTATGAATGCCTTATTTGCTGCCTAGGGTATAAGCGAGGTATTTTGTCATCGTCTAGGCCTAAGTGAAATTACACTTTCTTGAACCATCATAATAAGTTAATAACCACTCTTCCATGATAAATTGATGTTGACAATCACACTATACACCTATATATTACATATATTTCATAATATATTTTTGAATAAATATAATGATTAATATGATATCCAACATAATTGTATATCTCCTAAAATATCAACAATGTGAAGATACAAAGAACGAAGGCATACAATATATGGTATTGTTACAAGTGTCGCAAAAACAATCATCTAGATCCATAGAGATGGAATCAAATGCCAAGGCCAAGGAAGGAATGGAAATTGATTATCTCATATCATTTTCACCTTCATCTCCTTTCTCATCGAAATTAAAACTACTTAGCAATCAAAATAATAAAGAACTGCTAATGAAGCAACAATAATGGCAAATTCATTCCTCGTCTCCATCATAGCCTTTAATGATCGCTCTAAAACCTTTCTCCTTTGGAATACTTTTTCCACATTCCATCAGGTATTTATTTTATCAATAAAAATTTTGTTACATCAATTTTCACATAAATTCCAGAAGCGGGAAGGAAAACTCGATCTATATTGACTCGATCAATTCCCCTGTCATAGGTCGTAATAGCATCATTCGTGGGATTGATCCTTGTAATCATTGTGCACTACCGATACCAAAAGCTACGAGATAGAAGGATCATACCGCGGTTGAGGCCTTCGCAATCCGGTCGCCGTACCGAGAAGCTCGAAAGGTTTTCTCATTATGTAGGTAATGATGATGATAAATATATGATAGTTGATATAGATAATATGTTATTGAGATCGAATATTCTCCATGTATTATCTTATAATATTTTAATCTCTTAGAAATAGTTCGTAGAATTTTGTTGTCAATGATACATGGCGGTGGCGTACATTGCAGCAAGGCAAATGGGATTTGCGGACAGGAGACAGTGTCCACATTTGTGTAAGTTAGCATCGGAGTATATAAGGAAGACAGAGACATGTGAAGAAGACGTTTTTGCTTTCTTCGCTGAGGAGTGGGATGCAGATTCCTTATTTGTGAAGCTGGTAGAGGAGTTGGAGCGATGCATTCTTAGTTACTTTGCCTTTCATTGGAGTCATGCTGATCTCATCATTAGTCAGGTATCATTATTCTCTTTCATTTAAAACAAAATCTTATCCAAAAGTAACGACTTTTGTTTGTTTCTATGTTTGTTAGGTGTTGAGTGCTGATGCAGAGCCTAAGAAGAAATTCAGGCATATTGTAATGGCTGCCACTAGGTATGGACATATTGTTTAACACTACTCACCTTGTATGCAAAATCAAAATATAACTTTTTGTGTATCAAACATTAACCTAACCTTTTTTATGTGGTTTAATCAGAGAACAAAGGTTTGAGAGAGTGACAAAAGATCTCAAGGTGGCTAGGGTGTTCAATACCCTAGTAGAGGAAATGAAAGCGATGGGTTTAGCATCGAATGATGATTCATGTACCGAGGTTATGGCACCAGTGGACCATTCCAACAGGAGCCCAGTCCTCTTGCTCATGGGTGGAGGCATGGGAGCGGGGAAGAGCACTGTCCTCAAAGATATTCTTAAAGAGTATGGATTTGAACACCACTAGACTATTACTCTTGATTAACCTAACACCGTAAACCATTGGTCAAAGTGTTAACCTTGCACAATCCTTTTAGGCGAACTGTAAAATCGGTCTTCAAATAGACAACTTTTAATGTGATATATGAAAGTAGGGGTTAAGTGGTAACTGATTTCTTCCTTATGAGCAGACCATTCTGGGCTGGAGCATCAGCGAATGCGGTAGTTATCGAGGCAGATGCTTTCAAAGAATCAGATGTCATCTTTAAAGCCTTAAGCTCCAGGGGACATGTCGACATGATCCAAACAGCTGAGCTTGTGAGACTCCATCATAATATTATAGATTCATGGATGTCTTACCAACTTATCAACCTCGATCACATATCAAAATCATATGCATGTTTCTTTTCTCTTATCAAAAGAAACTCACTCTCCGCTACATGAATTTGAATCAGGTGCACCAATCATCCACAGATGCAGCATCTTCACTACTGGTGACAGCACTTAACGACGGGCGAGATGTTATCATGGATGGTACACTCTCTTGGTTGCCCTTTGTGGTGCAGACAATAACAATGGCGAGAAATGTCCATCGGAGGCGCTACCGGATGGGAGCAGGTTACAGAGTAGCAGAGAACGGAGCTGTGACTGAGAACTACTGGGAGCAAATTGAAGAAGAACAACCACTTGAAGAAGGAAACAAGAAGAGAAAGCCATACAGAATAGAACTGGTTGGGGTTGTTTGTGATGCTTACCTTGCTGTTGTTAGAGGCATAAGGTAATAAGTTCAAATTTTTAATACTATAATGAAAACTATTAAATTTCTTAATCAGCAAAAATATGTTGAAAATGAAACTTTTTTTTTAATAATAAATTCTCATTTTGATCTCTTTTTTTTTTTACAGGAGAGCCATAATGTGTAGAAGAGCTGTTAGGGTCAGGTCACAACTCAGATCACACAAAAGATTTGCTAATGCATTTTTAACATATTGCCAATTGGTTGACAATGCCAGGCTATATTGCACCAATGCTTTAGAAGGACCACCAAAGGTACAACGATTCATCCCTTCTCTTATACGAGTTATTCTTTCATCATGTTTAAATTCTTTATCAAATTACATTATATGGTAGATAATCAAATTTTGATATGGAAGAGATTAGGATAACTAAATGAAAACATAGATAGTCGATGATAGAACTGAAATTTTAGTTATCCTAGCTTCTAATCCTGAAAATATATATTACATATTATATCTCAAGTATATCCAAAACCATGATGTTGCATTGGATTTACTAACACAATAAATTCCATAGTATATCTCAAGTATACCCAAAACCATGATGTTGCATTGGATTTACTAACACAATAAATTATTGTGAAGTTGATAGGATGGAAAGAGAGAGACAAGACTTTGTTGGTTGATCCGGATGAAATCGATTGCTTAAAACGGGTGGGCAAATTGAATGAGGATTCAGACTCAATATATGAACTTTACCCAGTTCCAAATCCGGCTTGTGCTACTGGTTCAATTTGGAAAGACATTGTATTATCACCTTCAAGGATAAACATTCAAAAAGAGTTGAAGTATTCCATTCAGAAAGTTGAAAGAGCAAAAAAGATGAATCAAAACTTTGTGAGATGAGACAAAAGATGTTAAGAAAAGTGAGTTTTGGTTTTGAGGAAGGTTTTTGTTTTTCTATTGTATCCCACACAAGATGATTGTGTTACCTAGGTTGTTCTATGGTACGGTTGATCATATGTGTGAACAGTTTGGCCTCTACTTTTTATACATAGAATTTTACTTTGTTAAGCATTTGTTGGGATCACTACTAAAAAAAATATTAACTTTTAATCATAAGATTTTCCGTAACTCAATGCTCAAATTTCATGATCAATGTTTTCTCTTTTCTATAACAAATATTTTCCCGTGACAAGCATGCTTGTGGTAAAAAGCAAGTATCATGGGAATTTTGTGATTGTTAACCAATAAAAGCGGGGAAAATCTCATGATAAATAGTTGAATTAGCACGGGAACCCCGTGATCAAACTATAGCCATAGGATGATCTCCATGATTCATAGATGTGATTGCTACAAGATTTTTATTAATTATATGTATTATCAACTATGATATTTTATATTAGTCATTGGAATACAGTAATTTTGATAACATTTTAAATCCCGTTGTTTATTCAATGGTCACATATGAACGACAATTACATGCTAATACTACTAATTGTCTAATATTCTTTAGAACCTAATACAATATATATATAATACTAACATTAATTAATGATAAATGTATTTACATATGAAAATTTCATTTACATTACATACAGATTCTACTCACTTTTCTACCAAAAATAAAAGCAACTTCTACTGACTTAGTGTAATTCTATGGCAAACCTAGCCAAAAGATGCAAAAACTAAAAATTAAATGCTTTCATACATAGCAGTCTTCTGAGTAGGAACGTTCGACAAGTATAATTCCCCTTTTACTTGTCTATGCCACTCATTTTCTTGTTGTTGTTTCAGTGAAAGAGTGAGTTATCAACCTTGGCCATCTGGCTACAATTGATTGTGCCTTCTAATTAGGGCTCCTATGTCCCTCTTGCTCCACTCCGACCTTATTCCCCAGAATGCAATCTATGACATTAGAACATATAGTTCACTTAAAACACAGAGGGAGAACATAGAATTCATATTCCAGCCAAGGGCAAGGCTGAAATGAAAAATGGAGATCCCAAAAAAATAGATTGCAAGTGAAAGGCATTAGCCAAGGTCGTAGTATACTAAAAGCAAGAGATGTTTAGACAAATATTAGAATACAATCTATCAAGGAAAAAGTTAGGGAAAAAAGAAAAAATGGGTAGAAAAGAGGTTGGCAGATACCCAATACATGTTGCTCATGCCTGCAAGCAGTTGAAAGCATTGATTATTTACTACAACATTGCAACTTTTCAAGAAGTATATGGGACTATTTCTTCTTCAGAATCTATGCCAAAGGATCGATCTCGTACAATTGTGGCAATTTATTACAACAGTGGAGCCACTTCACCAATGGATTAACACATATCCAATATGTTAGATCACTGCCTTGTGCCATCATTTGGAACATTTGGTTAGAGCAAAACTCCATAACTTTCAGAAATAACATATATACATGGGACAAGGTAATGCACAAAGTTGTGAACAATTGCATCAGTGGGAGTCTTGCCGAGGATCTTCTAAATCGACAAGAATTAGAAGAAAATGGTCGGACGTTCACTACAAAGAAGTCCCGACTATAAATGCCGTATCAACATCTCGCCCCAGCATCATTCTTTGACAGAGAGAATAAAATCACAACTCTAGATCGGTATCGAGCTCTAAATATGTTTGAGCTCCTACCGTGAAGTAGAGCACGTCTCGTCTCCTTCGTCTCGAGCATTTGATGAATTATGATGGTCTTCATCATGGTTGACTATCTGACTCAGCCAATATGGGTTAACCAAATTGTCTACATGGCTTGTAAAATTACATTTGAATACTCACCGTTAAGTTTGAGAACAAAATATATAATTGTGCAACCAAAACAAGACTTTTATGATTTAGTTGCAACGAAAACAATGTATGTAATTAGTGTCCAACAAGTGTAAAATTTAAGTGACACCCTATACAATTAACCCGGGGAAAAAATACTGAATTGCTATTCGTCGCCCTAAAATTTAAATTATTTCGCCCTAAATCATACTAAATTGACTTGTATACCCTTATACCCATTTTCAATCCCGAATCCCTAACTCGGAAAAATCGTCCGACCACCGCTGCCGATCCCTAACCCACCGTCGCTCCCATTCCACACTCTGCCGGCCTGCTGTCATTGCCGAGAAAGGAGGAAGAAGAAGGTCTGAGCGCTAGCCTACTGTCATTGCTAAGGACGGAGGAACAAGAAGGTCCGAGTGCTGGTCACCCGCCTCGATTCCTCCAATTCGACGACCCGTTGCTGAGGAAGAAAAAAGAAGAAGCAGAAGCAAGAGTAAGAAGGACTGAAGCTTGGTTTGCCGGTGTCATTCCCCAGTCGCCCATCTTTTTAGCCCAGATTCATTACTTACGCCAACTTTTGCTATGTTATAGACATAAAAGAAATCCAAACTAGCTAGAGAAAGTCCAAAAGTTGATCATTAATGGGGAACAGCTCCATGAAATCCGTATAGGCGACGACGATTGGGAGACCCTCGGAGACCACCGCCACCACAAGATAGTCATGTTCGATGCGGACGCAAACGCTAACGATGACCACCTCGGTATTGTCAGCGTCAAAGGAGAACAAGGCGATGATGATTCTTCTTCGACTATAATTTTTATATTTATATGTTTTGAAAATAAAAACTAAATTAAGGATATTTAAGTCATTTTAATAAATGTTAGGGCGACAAATAAGGAGTTTTAGGGCGACGAATAGCAATCCCAAAATAGTAAAAGACAGTGAATAAGTACGGTCTGGTCCAACTACGTTTTGCTAGGCTCATAAGCCCAACGACAGTTGAGCCCACGATCCATGATCCATCCAGGCTAGCTATATAAGAGCAGCTACTGCCCTCCAAACCCTAAAAAACATCGGAGAAAATCTCGCGCCGACGGACAAGCGACCTGCCGGATTCTTGCAAGTTTCCACTCCATCAGAAGCCATGGTGAGAACTTCATTTCCTCCCTACTGAGTCGATTTTCTTTATCTGCTCATGATTCAAACTAGCTGGACGTTGTGGACTTCCTTTTCTTATACGAATTCCTGCGTTAGGCTATCAGTCAAGCCAAGATTATGCGTTGAAATGATGGTCCAAGTCTAACCCTCTGACTGTTTTTCGTTCTCCGGTGGCATTTCAGGCGGACGTTGAAGCCGATGTTGCCGTTCCAGAACAGCCAAAGAAGAGGACGTTCAAGAAGTTCAGTTTTAGGGGAGTTGATTTGGATACCCTCTTGGACATGTCCACTGATGACCTCGTCAAGCTCTTCACTGCTCGTGCCCGAAGAAGGTGACTTGCTTATCCGATTATCAATCGCTTGGCTATCATTTTTTAAAAATGAGTCTTTTTGCTCCCTCTGGATCTTGATAAGTTCATTAATTTGTGCTCAGGTTCCAGCGAGGTTTGACTAGGAAGCCAATGGCGCTCATCAAGAAGCTCCGGAAAGCGGTAAGTTTTAAAGTTATATAGTATGGTCCTTGCTAGATTTTGCTAAGGGGTCTTTTTAGCTTTCCAGCTTTCATGATTGTGGTGGAAATGTGCATCCAGAATACTCAGTTGATTGTTGCATTTCTCTGTAATGCTTGGTGTTCAAATTTTGAATGTTTAATCTGAATTGCTTTATTCTGTACCTATGTGCGGCTGTTGAATGTTTTAGACATAAGTTGTAGCAATTGATTAAATGTCCATTGCATTGTAGTTGATTGCTAAAAATTTTTTTGCAATCCATCGTCATTTTCTGGATAGTTCTCTAGCATTTCAGTATTGGATCATCAATTCGTGAACTCTAAGAATTCTCTGACATCTATTTGTAATGGAATATATTTTTTCCATCCAGCCCTGATATTCCACTAGTGGTCTGACCGATAAGGAAGCTTATGCTGCAGAACTCTTAGTTCAACTTGTGGGGAAATGAGTCTAGTGTCTTAGTTACTTGCTAGGAAGATTTGTAAATTTTACTACTTTGCTACTGGGATGTTTGAACAGCTGAGGTTTTCTCTTGATTGATGTATTTCGAGTCAAAACAGTTCAGTGTGAATGCTCTTCTATTCCCTTAGCATGGATAGTGCATGACTGGTCACCAACTTCTTGTCCTGGCTAGTTAAGTTCTGCAACAATATCATAATTTTTTGTTAAATGCTTATCTTGAGTAGCTTTGTCCGTCATTTTGCTGGTGATAAAGAAACCGGCCATTGCATGTTTCACGCTGTATTCCCATTGTTTGATTCTGTTATCCGCTTAATTGATTTGTTTTTCTCTGTGGTGGTGTTCAGAAACGGGAGGCTCCAGCTGGTGAGAAACCTGAGCCAGTTAGGACTCACCTGCGCAACATGATCATAGTCCCCGAGATGATCGGTAGTGTTATTGGTGTTTACAATGGCAAGACTTTCAACCAAGTGGAGATCAAGCCTGAGATGATTGGTCACTATCTAGCTGAGTTCTCAATCAGTTACAAGCCCGTGAAGCACGGAAGACCTGGTATTGGTGCTACCCACTCTTCCAGGTTTATTCCTCTCAAGTGAAGCTCTTGGTCGCCATCTCAGATGGTGTTTCAGTCTCTTGGATCTAGCTTTTGTACTTCCGTCCATGCTGTTTTGTTCTTCCCGTTTGCGTATGCTGCTCTAAATATTTGGTTCCCGAAATTTTGTACAAGGATTCTTGCTCTTGAACCTTTTATTGTCAACTAGAAACTTTGTTGGACGATATTATCTGGTATCAATTCTCACACAGTCAACGTGGCGGAAAATTATCTTTGTTGGGCTGAATACGATGAGTTTTACCGTTAGGGTGCTGACTAACGTAAGTAATAACTGAAGCTAGCCCTCCATCCACCAATGGCATATCAGAAGAAATGCTGATGTGTGCTTTTTCATTGGTCAACTAGAGATGGGGAGAACAGAGGTCCATAAGGCCATAATC